TTGTAGTTATATCATTACTAGTGACTTGAAGAGGTCCATTTTGCCGAATGCAATTTGTTACTTCTGCATTGAAAAGGTTAGCATTGTTACAACATACCTTGTAGTATGGAGGAAGAAATAGGATATCAAGCTTTTTAACTTTGGCTTTCTTTTTGGTTAGTTTTGTATTTTTGGTTGGTCCTCTTTCTTTTTTATTAGAAGTTTCATTCCCTATTAAAAAAAATTTACAATTAGAGAACATATATCATTATATATAGTCATATTTATCACTTAATTTAATAAAAACATTGTTACATATATTTTTTGAAATCACAAAATTAGTGGAAGCAAAAAATTATCCATCTAGACTTATATCAGTATTTGAATTATCAAGTAGAGTATTAGGTAGTTGATTAGGCACATGGGTAACTTTCAGACTTATCTACAGTATGAAGAGTATCATGTTGTGCATCACTTGAATTTGTCAAAGATTTGGATAATAAAATATTAGCCATTTTATTCTTGAAAACTAATTAATATTTTAATTAGAATACATAATCATAATCATAATTCCTAAAATTCAAATGTTTTACAATATCCCTCAATAATGCTCGATTAATTTACTTAGGATAAATAAATAATAAATAAATAAGGGTATAAAAAAATAGAGTTAATTATAAACAAGGGTATCGAAGATAAATTTGTTATTTGCAAAATCAAACAAGTCAAGAATAAATGAAAACTTTATCTATGCAAATCATCCAAAATAGTGAAGCAACATAAATCCGGAACAAAGATTTTAAATTCTTATTCTACCCCCTAAACCATATCTTGCAATAGAGTGAATACACAACAACCTTTATTTTAATTATGTAATGATTAAAAAACTTATATTTTTAAATCATAAAAGATCATAAACTACAATTTTCTAAAAAAATAATTAATTGTTTAAATCAAAGTAAAACTAAAATATAAATATTTTAATAATATTGGAGAAAAGATTTTTAAATAAAAAACTTACCTCAGAACTTCAACAACAACACATGTGAGGTTTGACGACAAAAAGAGGTGTCTCTTAAATAGTATGAATATTTTAATCATATTAGAGACAACATTTTTAGGTAAAAAAAAATTACCTTAGAAATTCAACAATCGTGAGAGGTTTGACGGCAAAGAGTTGTTTTTTTTACTATTATTTAAGACATGAAATTAAAATCAGTTTTTTTTTTCTATTATTTTAGACGTGAGGACTTGATGCTACTGTAAAAAAAAAAATTAAAAACATTTTTTACACATATTCTTTTAATTTTTAAATTTATTTAATGCAAATAATAAATTATTAATTATAATAAAATAGAAGCAATATTTATTTTTAAAATAGTTTATTATCATATACATATATAAGTAATATAACTTTTTTATAAGTAAAATTAATAAATCAAATGACCCATTTATTTGTGCAATTAACTTTTGATTTTATGAATCTGAACACGAACAAAACAAAACATTATGGATTTCAAATGAATAAATCAAATCGAATAATTCCATTTCAATTCCATGATAAAAATAAAATTTAAATTTTCATAAAATTTTCTAATAGTGATAATTTCAATTGTTATAGTGATAAATTTGTAATTATGATGACATATAATTGATAGTAATATGTTATGTTTAATGGTGATGAAAATTTTCAAAACAAAAAGTAAAGTATTATGTGAGAAATTAATTTTTTTTGTCACAACAATGTTTAATAGTAGCAACCACTTTCTATGTTTTCCCTAGTATATTATTTTTTACCAAAATTCACCTGCTACCATTTTTATGCACTTTATCTATGATAATTTTATAATGACAAATAATTTTGTATCACAAAAACATATTTAGAGTGAGGATTTAATTATGAAAAAGTTTAAACCGTTACAGTTACTATTATATTAATGACCGAAAAACAATACATTATAATTACTTATTAAAATAGTATCATAAGAAAATTTCATCACAAAAAACTTAATATTTATGACAAAATTATTTATAATCAGAAAAAATTATCACTAAAAATTTTAATTGTTGTAGTGAAAACTCAACATATCAGACTTTTTTATTTTTTTTCCCAAACCATATTTAACAAATATATATAAATTTTAATGAAAATTAATATTATGTAATTTTATTAATTCTATTTATAAAATTTTCAAATTTAAAAATTTCATCATCAAAGATAATTTTATATATATTTACCCTTTTAAAAGCATGCAAATTCCATTGAATTTAATATACTACATAACATCATAAAATTAAGTTGGTTCACATGGTGCGAGCCTTAAAAATTTTTCCTATAGTTTTCCTGTTTGAGGAATCAAGATTCACATTCGTTAATAATCATTCAATATCAAAACCCCATCATCAACCTATGCTGACAAAGGATACCCCAATGATAATGGGACCTTCCAAACCCTCCGTTCTCACTGCTCAGCCTCTGACAAACTTAGACGAAATAACTGCTTTTTGGCGTCACAATAATAATGCTGCAAAAATACTGTTTTTGTTTGGTCTTTCTGAGAGGACATTGTACCAGTTCCTCTTAAAATTGGGGTCCTAAGAAATTCAACAACCCCAAGCATGACGTTTAAACAACCAGGTTCTTATAATTATCATTACTCTTTCTTTCGTTTGGGCCCTGAAAGAAAAAAAAAAAAAAGCATTGAGTCAGGTCCTTTGGTTGCCTTCTTTTTGCCTGGAGAAATGCTTTAGATCAATTTGCTGGTAAGTAGTCGATAGGGGGTGGACCTATTGGCCTAGCTACGGCCCGATTTTGAGGACATTTGCTTATTTTCTAGATGGATAAGGTTTACTAGGATTCCCCTTCATTTTGTCCTCTCACTTAACTTGCCAAGATCACCAACTAAAGTACAGTTTTTAGTAAGAAAAAGGGGGTAATCTTTGTTCTAGTTAAATGGATATTCCCCATTAACAAATTCTTTTTAATTTTTTAAAGAAAATTTTGAATTCGTTCATGGAGTGAAAGAACATATATACATAATATTGAGTCAAATGCTTTGGACGTTCGATTTTGCATAAAATAGAACAATAAAAAGGGTAAAATCTAGAAAGCAAGCTCTGTTAATTCTCAATTTGTTGCTGATCTTTTCTCCTCTTTGAGATGTGATCATATCTCACATTTTCCACAATGACAGTTTTCCTCTTCTCCCATTGCATTCGCAAATGAAAGCCTAGTCATACTCCTTTCAATTATGCTCTATATATTTATGGTCAATCCTTCTCATGGAAAGCATTTCCAATGCGGATTGATCACTGTATTACTCTCTCACATTCTAACACATGGTGTGTAGGACCCTCAACGTTCTCTTAATTAATTTTCTCAAATTTTCTTTTTTTACTATATTTCCACAAATTTATAATTTTATAATTGATTGAAAATTATAAAAAAATGCAAAGGAAAATTACAATATTTCTAAAATTATATTTCTCAAATTTTCTTAAAAAGAGTGAGTTTCATATGTTATTTTTATGATCTTAAATGATTGTAAATTTTTTTGATAGAAATAAATAATTAATGAGGAAAAGAAGAGAAAGAATGGAAGAATATAGGGGCCACAGGATAGGGCCAGAGCTCATTGTCAGTGAAGAGGGGCTGACCAACCAAACCAAACCAAACCAAACTAAACCAAAGAGCATTGGATTCCAAAAATTTGTCGTCAAGAGGGGCACTGGAAAACGACAGGTCGTCCTGGCTTGAACATCAGCGCATTTTATGCGCGCAGGCCGTAGCCCTGACAAAAACCAGTCTCCCCCACCCGTCCAGAAAGAAAAAAAAAGATTCTTATATTATCATCTTTGCTCCTTTTTTGTGTCTTTGCAATAGAATTTATGATCATGCAAGTCAGATCGAAGTTTAATGCTCAGAATTGTAGCCATCCTTTTTCTTGTGATTTGTCTTTTGCATATTCCATTGCTTGTTTTTGTTGCCTTCAAAGTTAAAACCAGAAGAAAAAATCAATATTAAAATTTAAAATTTAAATTTATTAAAAATTATTTTTTAAAAATAATTATATAAATAATTTTATTTAAACATTAAAGTTTTTTCCCTTTTGTTTTTATTTATTACTATATGGACAAAATAATATGAGATAACTAACCTGACCTAATTAAAACACAACCCCACAAATGAAAGGATTTGTACTGAAATAAGCTGGATTTGTACTGAAATAAGCTGGAGATCGTGTAAGCAGGAATTCAACAGGAATTAAATTTGGTTTTCGTGAAAGCATTCTTTAATGCGAGTCAAGTTGTACCATTGCTAACCCACATGTTATATGCACATAATTTTGTTTTGAACAAATATATAAAAATAATTTTATAACATAGTCATATGTACCTAAGAATAGTTTTGCTTGCTGTTCATTTTAAATTGGTTTTCCTTTGTTTTGTTCAATTCATTTACTAGGTATAGGTTAGTGGACCCATAGTAGGTTTAGACCACATATAGTGGTAAATAGTAAAATTATTATTATTTCACTAAGGTAGATTCCAAATCATACTTTTTAATTAAAAAAATATACATTAATTAATGAATTAAATATTTCAATGATTGATAATGGAGTTTTTAAATTTTATATATATACGAAATTAAAATGATTACCATGTGCCAGGTTTTTTATTATATAAATTTTTTAATATTTTATATATCATAAAAATATCTGTCAATATTTTAATTTTATTAGTGAAATTTAACAAATACATTAAAACGAGATAATATTTCGTGAACTTATTCCACATTTTACTCTATCAAATTTCGAACTTGAGAGTCCAAAAAAATTAAAATGACAAGATCATAGGCTTAATTTGAGAAATCAACCCCGTCTAGCCAATTCAAAGCAATTTGAAGGCCTCTTTTAGGCCAATTTTGACTGTAGGTATGGACAAATTCATCAATATCTAGGCTAAAGCCCAAATAGAATTGGGCTCCCTACATTCCAATAAAATGAGAAAAAATTAAAATGAAAAGAGGGAAAGGAAAATGGGTTAACAGTAAACACTTAACAGATAACAAAGCGGAAGAGGATAGAAAAACTGTGAAAGAAAAGAAGAATGGTTGGGGCTTCTTCTTTGCAGCCAAGAATCCTCTCTTCTTTTGTGGGTGATCGTTTAATTCAACCAAGACAACCTCTTTCTCAGTTTTTAATTACAACCCAGGTTTTGTTTTTCTTCAGCTTTTTATTTGCTTTTAAGTTTCGCTGTTTCAAAATTTTCATTGCAGTTTTAGTGACTACTTTTTTTAATTTTTCCAAAGGTTGGAATTTGATAAATTTTAGTTAAGAATAAGTTGAGATGATAAAAACCCAGATGGAAATAAATGGTATTTCAATGGGAAGAAGACTGCTTTGAGCTTGAAAAGATGAATTTAAGTATATTAGTTTAATAAACAGGTATTTGGATTGGGGAAATTGCATTGGATGCTAAAGGTGGAAAATGATGCTTCTTTTAGTATCAGTATTCTCAATATCTTTTTTGGTATTATCATTCTATCTTAATAGTGGAAGAGATTTTAGGTCACAATCCGATTTGTCAAATGAAGAAGTTTTTAACTAATCAGGAATCAGTATAGTCCCAGGCTGTCCTAGCTTGGTCTTTTTGATAATTTGAAACTCTGTGGCAGCAGTGACTTTGGCTGTAGCAAAGCTATACGCCTATACCTGTATGTCAAAAGGCATGCTTTTGCTGGAATAAAACTAATTATATTCTTCTTAGCCATTGGTTGAGTACGAATATATGACTGAATTGTTGCATTTGTATGAAAAAACTTAGTTTTATGATACAGGAACTATTTTGCAATATGATGATTAGGCTGAAGATGGTTCATCGTTTACCATTTATTCACTTTTTTCCCATTTTTTATTTGCATTCTCAGGTCATAACCATCTGTCAATGCAATTATCTAGAACACTTTCTGGCTTAACAAATCTCTTGTTCAATAGAAGGTATGGTGGAAAACTCTCTGATTGGACATGTTTGCTATTTGATACACAGTTGCCAGAAACAGAGCCTCACTTTTTTCCTTTGATTCTGCATTTTCATGATTATACTTTTGGTATGATAATATAATGCTTTATATAGTGTTTCACTATATGTTTCTGTTGCTTACAAATCTTATCTGGCAAGATGAAGTGGCAATATATGCCATATGTCATGGGTGATTGGATGACAGCCATGTCATTGTCCTAAGTTAATGGTGTTAAGCCCAAGTACCACATTGATAGATGGAATCGTAGTACAGGTGTCACATTATACATTTTAAAAGCGGAGGTACCACATTGGAAAATTTAGCAAAGTACAAGGGCCAAATATGACATTAACCCAATCGTCTATCTATTTTCCTTTTGATAATTTGTTACATATTTCATGTCTTAAAAGGTGATATAGGAGAAAGATATTCTCATATTTAATGTATGAAAAGGTGATATTGGGAAAAGATACTCTCATATTTCATTTATATTCCTGAAAGATATTCTAATATATTATGTATTAAAAAGTGATATTGATAAAAGGCATCTTGTTAGTTGTTACCTTGTAGCTTGCTCCTTGGTAATCTATATGCTTTGCTAATAGCAACTATATAAGAATGTTTCTCTAATAGCATGTTAAGCAACGTGTATAAGCAGGAACATGTAGATGCATACACTACATATTTGACAGTTTAATGGTCATAACAGGAGCAATTTGGATGAAGTTCCAAACAGCAAGTGCAAATGTCTGAGACCTGGAGAGTTATCTCCTCGTCGACCTGTTCCAAATCATATTCAAAGGCCACCTTATGTCAAAAGACAGATGGCTCCTGGAATTGCCAGTGGACCTGAGGTGCATGATATAAAGGGCATAGAACACATGAGAGCTTCTGGAAAGCTTGCAGCACAGGTTCTAAATTATGCTGGGACCTTAGTGAAGGTAATGCTGTATTTCCTTATGGCTGTATGTCTTCTTAATTGTTCTTTCAAACTTTTCTTGTCATTGTAAAATCCTATACTTAAAAGCTGCATTCATGGTACAAAGCAGCTTTGCAATCTGTCTTTTCCCTCTGTTGTTAGTTTGCTTAATAGACAGTTCCAGGGCTGCGTGCGTACATGAATAACATAGGATTTGGCAGTTTCTCTGAAAGGCTTAGATCTTTACTCTGTTGGCAGCCGGGCATAACAACAGATGAAATTGACCAAGCCGTTCACCAAATGATTATTGATAATGGAGCATATCCTTCGCCTCTTGGCTATGGTGGATTTCCAAAAAGTGTCTGCACATCAGTGAATGAATGCATTTGCCATGGAATACCAGATTCTCGTCCACTTGAGGTCCTTTCAATTTAGGTTCTTAAACTGCTTCCCATGGTTGCCATTGTTTGTCTGAATATAGAAAATCACTAGTACACATTTTCATTTGCAGGATGGTGATATAATCAATATCGATGTCACAGTGTATCTAAATGTAAGTAACGTTTTCTACTTGCAGTTTTTGAGTGAAATGAAGAGGCATGTTCCTAAGTGGTTTTCTTGTGGAATTCTCCCATAGGTTATGTCTGATCACATATTCAAGTTGTTTTCTCTATGGTTTGAGCATTGGAGATCATCCCAAGTATCCATTGACTTGTTAAATTATGTTGAACTTGTGTTTTTGCTGATAATTGTTCACTGCAATTCTGTAACCTCTGATCTTTATGTTTTGGAGCACTCATATATGGGATAAAGGTTGTGTAGGGTTATCATGGTGATACATCAGCAACTTTCTTTTGTGGAGATGTTGACGAGGAAGCAAGGAACCTTGTGAAGGTAACAACTATCTTTAGTTTAATCCATAAAGAGTAACATGAAGATTCTTTATATATGCAGTCGTTGCAATATTTAGATAAACATGTTGTTTTCACTTAAAAGATGATTTACTTTTTAAATTGTAGGATCTTGTCATGGTTGGGCAGATGCATAAATGCATTCCTATTCCACAAGATTTTCTTCTTTTAAATTATAGAAAAAGACAATGGCTGTTGATGATAGAATATGATTGAAGTAATAAAATAGTCATTGTCATCTTTAGAGATTTAATCGGCTTGCTTGCAATCTGATCGGAGAAAAGATTTAAGCTCCTTAGGATGCTGATTATAGTTTGGTCACTAGTTGATATGACCTAATATATTTGTGTTATGGTTGTAAAGAAAGAAAAAAGAATCCCTTGTTTTTTTGGATTTTCATTTTGCAACGGTATTTCTTGAGACTTAAATTTAAAAGTAAATAGTTTGTTTCACCTGTAGTTTTCTGTCTCCATTACATTTTACTAGAATTGTTATTGGATGCATGATTAGGTAACCAAGGAATGCCTTGATAAAGCAATATTGATATGTGCACCAGGAGTGGAGTTCAAGAAAATTGGCAAAACTATTCAGTAAGTCACCCAATATAGCTTTTGTGTGTCTGTTTATACAAATTCCGTATCATCTGCATTCTTTAACAGCAAAATCCTGTGGTAATATTCTGAACTTGAGGCTTGTTATACTTCTCATGTTTGCGTTTACCTTTTTTTTTTTTTTGCACATGGTGGATGTTATAACTAGCTTTCTTACCTTTCCTGATAGTGTAGTTAGTCTAAACCTTTGATACTTCAGGATTTAGTTATGGAGAGTATGGTGTGTATCTTATTACGATGAAAACTCGAAGATTTCCACTGATGTTTTTTCTCCTTTTGTTTTGTTTTGTTTTAATCAAAGAATTTAATTTTTCTGTCATTAGATCCTGTTCTCAGTTAAATAAGGCCAACTGGTTTTGCTTTCTGGATAAATACATATCTGTTTACTCCTCTCTCTGATGCTCACTTGTTAGTTATTTTTTTTTCAAGTGACCATGCAGATAAATTCCGTTATGGTGTTGTTCGGCAATTTGTTGGCCATGGGGTTGGACGGGTTTTTCATGCTGATCCTGTTGTTCTACACTTCAGTAATTATGCTTACCTCAATTTTTTACCTTTGCTATTTGATTTCCTTTTAATATTGTCATTGAGGGTGGGAGAAGGGGGATATTTAGCTCTAAAAGGAGATTTTCAATATTTTATATTTTGAGTAAATAAATTAGCAAGAAGCAGATACTTTCTGAAATTATATGGGAAGGTCAATATGTCAAATGTCAGAAAATAAATTCTTCAACTGTGCTTGTTTTTAAGCCATGCAAGCTGGTTGGTAAAATCAATAGTATAGCAATTTTCAGTTAAGACTTTCCAAAATGAAGTACTGGCAGCAGAAGTTTATTGCTGAATAGTTATGAAAACATGTAGCTTGATACTTAATAACTTTCCTTCTGTGGCCCGTTGGACGGGAAACTTTTCTTCTCTAGATGGCCATGCTCTTTCTCTCTACTTATGCATATATACACAATCATTTTCTACTCTCTCTACTTGTGCATACATATGCAAGCATTTTCTACTGGAAGAACATGTCTTCTGAATATCATTTTGTCTTAATGTCAGGGAATAATGATAGTGGATGCATGGTTTTGAATCAGACCTTCACTATTGGTAATGTAATTCATGAATTTATGTTCTAAAAGATGGTTGATCAGCATTCATTTTGTGATATGCATGTCCTGAGTACTGAGTTTGCCTAACATGATCATCTTTTAACTCTAATTTCTAGTAGTTATTATAAACCGGAGTGAATGATATACACTTTACATGATCATATGGTACCACTAGGTTATTGATTCTTTTCTTTTCTCATTTTACAGAACCAATGCTCACTATAGGCAGCATTAATCCGGTAATGTGGGATGATAACTGGACGGTAGTCACGGAAGATGGGAGCCTGTCAGCACAGTTTGAGCACACAATTCTAATAACCGAAGATGGGGCCGAAATTTTGACCCAATGTGAAGGTTGAAATTGCATGTTGCGGCAATAACCAGGGCATCCTCCCCTTTGGAATTGTTATCATCCACATATGATTTAAGTCCTTAACCAAAATTTTTGCACAAGGCACTCCATTTTTTTATGTGTTTTAAAATCTCTGACATTCATCCGCATAATTTCATCTTCTACATGGTACTTTTTGTCTCCCATTATGCACTGCAGATTAAAAATAATTTAATCATTGCCTTGTATTTGAGGTTGCATGATCTTTTTTTTTTTTCTTCTGTTTATTCAGATTAAAACTCTAGCTAAATACGACTGTAATTAACCAACTATTTATTCTATTTTATGATTTATCAATAAAATCTCCTAGGTGATTATAGTTTTTGTGACTATTAAAACTATCCCATTTTTTTTTATCAAAGATTTAATCATGTATCAACTGCAATAAGTTTATGCTCGAGCTGGTTTTTCTCTTTTTTTTTTTTTTTTTTTTTCCAATCTTTATTTAAGGTTAGAAAATGATTTATGAATCAGCTTAGCTGAGACCGTAGTTATGTTCAATTTTCAAAACTTTACTATTTAAAGATCTCGAATTTGAATCTTGGACGACTGTCTAGGTTTACCAAATAAGAAAATAACATGTACAAGGAGCATGATGCAATTTGGTCTTTATTCATTAGTGAATGATTGGTGATCATAAAAAATAAAGAAAATAATATGGTTGATTAACATTCAATTCTGAGCATGTTTTTGCTTTTTTCTCAACCGTCAGATTTCTAGTTTTAGGCAAATTTAGAATACATCAGGATCCAAGAAATAATTTTTCTTGGGGCATGATCTAAGAGAAAGGTGCTTTCAACAAACTATATTTCCATTTTGAATCGGAACAAATGAAAGGGCATTCCCATTTTCAAAGAATTATATTGGGAGATCAAATTAGTGATCAGCAGCAATTTACGGTTGAAATCTTTTGATTTTATGGTTGAAATCGTTTGATTGATCAATTAAACTGAAAACAGATAAAAGACGAGCACATAACAAAGACATGGTGGCTATGAGGACAATTCATGTGAAAAAGACCTCTCAATTAATTTTTTTTTTTTTTTAAAGATGCAAGCAACCGTCAAATGGATCAAAGTCGCCAAATGAAAAAACAGCTAGGAGCACTCTTTCCATGTCAATCCTTATGGAAACAGTTTGAAAAAAAATATCTTGAATACATCAATGTGGGAGAATGCTTCTTAAAATTGTTGGAAGAGAAGATTATATTCAAGCTTTAGGGATATCCTGATGGCATTAAAAAAAAAAAAAACAGCTACTTAAAAACTATTGAGTTTGTGAGAATGGATAGAAGTTGCGTTTCAAGGAGTATAAAGCAGATTTTGCCTAATACTAATATTTTTTGTGCCTAATTGTAAGCAAGGCCAACCTTGCCCAACCTCAAACTTGTGAGTTGTGAGTACCGCGAGCATTGATGAGGAGCTATTTAATCACAACTTGACAAGGCCAAGCTTCCATTATTATATTCAGGACAAATTAATTGATTGAAGCTAAATTTTATACCATGGAGAGCTCTGCAGTTATGCCATCAAGCTATGGTAAAAAAATAACAGTTTTAAGCATTGATGGGGGAGGAATTAGGGGTATAATACCAGCAATTATCTTGAGTTTCCTTGAACTCAAGTTACAAGTATGCAGACTAATCATTCAACAACTCACAGTCCTTTGTTTTTATTTTGCCATTTTCTTCCTTTTTTCAACTATATTAAGCATCCATTACTACCGTTATTTTTGGCTACATGCATGATTAACAAAGTAAACAGAAGGGGTTGCATGCAAACAGAAAACATAAATGGAAAGTGTTTTCAATTTGTTGAAAAGTAGAATAGATGATAAAAAGCAATTGAATCTTAATTTTTTCTGTTTTTTCAGGAACTAGATGGAGAAAATGCTAGGATTGCAGATTATTTTGATGTGATTGCAGGAACTAGCACAGGGGGTCTCATGACAGCCATGTTAACAACTCCCGACGACAATGGGCGTCCTCTTTTTAGGGGAAAAGATATTGCTCCATTCTATCTCAAACATGGCCCTAAAATATTTCCTCGCACCAACTTCAAGTACCAGTATTATTATATAACAGCATCATTTTCTCGAAGGAAAAAAAATAGTTTGCTTTGATTTCAAAGAATTTGTTGAAATTGTTTAGAATTCACCCTACTGGACATTGGATATAATTTATAGTTCTATCTCTCTTGATTTAACAGGATGACAATGAAAATGAAAGCTCTAGTGAGACCTAAATACGATGGAAAGTATCTGAGGAAGATAATTTGCAGAGTACTAGGAAGTCGAAGGCTTCACGAGACTTTAACCCGTGTTGTTGTACCAACGTTTGACATCAAATTGCTTCAACCCACTGTTTTCACAACCTTTGAGGTGGATAAATATGCACTTCAGAACTTGAAAAAAATGTTACATTATTGACAAATGACAGTGAAAAATTTTGGAATGATGCAGGCAAAGATAGACCGTTCTAAAGATGCTTTGCTATCAGATATTTGTATTGGTACTTCTTCAGCTCCGACTTATTTTCCACCTTATACATTTAAAACCAAAGACTCAGAAGGAAATGATAGGGAATTTCACCTTGTTGATGGAGGGATAGCAGCAAATAACCCTGTGAGGAACAATTCAGTGTTCTGTTCAAGTTTTTCCTTTATTTCTGATCTTGTTTTTTAGATTTGGTTATCTAAAATAGAGAACAAAACTTGCTGTGTTTTTTTTATTTTGAAGGCACTGCTCGCATTGATGCCAACAGGACCAGCTTTTCCAAGTGATGAAGAAATTTCGCTGGGACGAGCCCTTAACTATGAGAATTATTTGATAATTTCACTAGGCACAGGAACTAGCAAGATGGAAAAGAAATACAATGCAAAAATGGCCGCAAAATGGGGAATTCTTGGGTGGCTTTACAATGAAGGAAGTTCTCCATTAGTGGATGCATTCACCTTTGCTGGAGCGGATATGGTTGACCTTCACATGTCATTCATTTTCAGGTCTATTAAATCTGAGCAAAGCTATCTTCGTATCCAGGTACCAATTTTAATTCCATTAATCCTCATGACCTTACTAATCAGAAATAAATATTTTCTGAAAGCACGAAGCGATCATGTTTGAATGAATTTCATCAACTTTTAGGATGACAAATTAAGAGGGGATGAATCATCAACTGATAAAGCTACAAAAAAAAAAATGAAGAACCTTGTACAGATAGGTGAAAGGCTCTTGCAGAAACCTGTTTCAAGGATGAATCTTGACAGTGGAAGTTTTGAACCAGTTGACAATGAAGGAACCAATGAACAAGCTCTCTCCAGGTTGTAACCGATCTCTTCTGGAACAAAATCCATAGTTTCATACAGGGTTATTGACTAGCGTTTTGGTCAGTGTAGATTTGCAAAGCTGCTGTCCGAGGAGAGGAAGCTGCGCAGGGCAGAGATTGCAAAGCAGCTTGACATAAAGGAATTCTGCCCCTGAAAGCTGATGATAACCACAAGTTCTTACTCTGTCTGCAAACCTTATGTTAAAAACATGTTACTTAGTGTTTTTATCAATATTAATATAGGTGCTGTTATTAAAAACATGTATATTTGATGATTAATAATGATATGTTCAATAAAAATTTTATGTTCTTGTTTGGTTGGAAGGCTGACATAAATGCTTTGATCAAGTTCAATGTTACAAAGGTGAAGTAATACCCAGCATTACAAAATAAGAAAAATTAAATGCTAAAAACAGACATGAATCCTTGATTAGGCTTGCTTAAGAATTGTGCCTTGCCTGTTTGCTTGTTTAATGAGAAATGGGAAGTCTTTCAATCAAAGTATAAAATTATTTTAATTAAGAGAAAAAGGTTTATTATCTATTTTTGATAGGATATATATTTAAGGGTGTAATCGAATTGGATATAAATAAACGCATATTTGTTTATTAATTTTAAGATATATTTGAGTTCCATAAAAAAAAATTATTTTATTTGTTCAAGTTCATTTTATTTAACATGATAAAATATTTATGTTTGGTTTGTGTTTGATTAAATTAAGTTAAATGAATTCGTTCATAAATATTAAAAAAACATATACATGAATATATATATATATAAACGAACATATTCATGAATAATAATCAAACTATAACCAAACGAATTTAAATAAATAAACTTTAAATGAATATAAATAAATACAAATTAATATAAATTAACTTTAAAATAAGATTATAATAAAAAATTAAAATATACTTTTGTTATTATTATAACTGGATAATAAATAAACGTATTTTAAATAAATCTTGAACGATTTTATTTGTGAATATAAAATCCAAACAAATTTTTTTTTTGTATTTGATTTATTTAATAAGTGAACTTAAAAATATTATTTAAAATTGTTTATTAAACTTAATAAGTAAATATGAAAAAAAAAATTGAATATTTTTATGAAATATTTATCGAAAACTCTATGTTTACATCTCTACGCACTCTTAACCAAATTTCTTTATTTAATTAGTTATTACACACATCAAATTACTTAATTAATGATAAAAAAAAATTAAATTTTCTCATAAAAATAAATGTTTATAGTTTTATTATTTTTTTAAAAAAAATCGTAATTTAATAATAAAATACGGAATTACAAGTAATACACTTATAATTTTGTTAGTATTAAAAAAATTATTATTATTATCGATATTTTACTGTAATACCATAATTATAAATTGCAAGGATTACAACAATTTAAGTTTAATCTACTATGATTACTATTTTTAGGGGGATTTTTTACGGTTTAATGTTCAAAATTTTTTGGAATTTTTCATATATATATATATTTAAAATTATAAAAATTCATATATTTTAAATTTATTTATTAATATAAAAAACACGAGAAGAATAAAATTTAATCATAAAATGTAGACATTCCTCCCAGTCAAATGATCCTATATAAATTGAATTAGTACTTCATCAACAATGATAGAGCTAGTATAATATTTCTTATATAACTTTATTAAAGATATAATCACGCTGACGTCATTGACGTGTCAGTTTCAATCACAGGAGATAACACTATAACAAAACTCATCAAACTTACCCGACATCTGGCACCTATATAACCCCCAAATTTCACTTTCTTCAATTTATTTACCTCATATCGCCGCCTTTCTTGCTTTCGGGGGGAAGTTTTCCGCTTCCGCCTTCCCAAATAAACACGAAAATTGAAAAAGAAAAACAGAGCCCGAATTTGCAATTTACACCATCACTTTCTTTCTCTCAAAAAACTTTTTTGAGAAAATTAACCAAACACATGGACTCTTCGCCTGTCAACTGGGAAGCACTGGACGCTCTCATAATCGATTTCGCCAAATCAGAAAACTTGATCGAGGACTCTTCGCCACCGTCTTCGCCTTCTCTCACCTCTCCTTCTCTCTCTTCCTCTTCTTATCATTCGAGGTTAATCATTCGCCAGATCAGACGCTCGTTAGAGACTGGTGACATTGACGCCGCCATCGATCTCTTCGGAGCTCATGCTTCTTTTGTGCTAGAGGATCACCGCCTTCTCTTTCGATTACAGAAACAGGTTAATATCTTAGTCCTCTCTAGTTTTTATTAATACAAATGTGTTTACGTGCAATTAATTCTTTTGTTTCTGGAGTTTGAATTTTACATCGTTGATTTTTTTTTCCTTATGAAGAAATTTATTGAGTTGCTGAGGAGAGGAACAACGGAGGATCGTGTCGACGCAATTGATTACTTAAGGAAGTCTCTTGCTCCTTGTGCTCTCAATGCCTATCCGGTAATTTTAGCTTCTTTTTTTTTAAAATTAATTTTCATGTTTTTATTGATTACTTTTCGAATTTGGAATTTGATATGGTATCAATAAACAACTATTTGGACGCCCACCTTGCTAATTTTTAAATGCTGATCCTTGAATTATTGTTATTACTGTTCATTTATTCATCTGCATTTTTTATTTGCATTAATTTTATGAAAATAGTTCAAAATAGAGTTGGTAATAAAATTCGTGGAAAAATGGAGCGAGAGGCGTTTCATTTTTTTTGATTCTGGAGAAATAATGGAGAAAGACGAATAATGAGTTACCATGCTTACAACTTTAAGATAGAATGATGAGTTACCGTGCTTACAATCTTTAAGATAGGAATAATGAGTTACCATGCTTACAATCGTTAAGATTCAATTTAATAAGTGCCATCTTGTTGTCAACTCAAGTGCTTATGTTGTGTCATTGCTCAATGCTTAATCTGGTTTGAAAAGGTTGTGCTATTCTTTAGATGGTAGGTTGTTATTTGATTTGGGGAAATAATGGATAAAGACGAATAATGAGTTACCATGCTCACAATCTTTAAGATAGGAATAATGAGTTACCTTGCTTACAATCTTTAAGATTCATTTTAATAAGTGCCATCTTGTTGTCAACTCAAGTGCTTGTGTTGTGTCATTGCTAAATGCTTAATCTGGTTTGAAAAGGTTGTGCTATTCTTTAGATGGTAGGTTGTTATTTGATTTGGGGAAGTAATGGATAAAGAGGAATAGTAAGACACTGTGCTGCAATGATGTTGGAAATTCCTTTCTTAAGTGTCATTTAGTAATCTGTAATGAGAAGCCTTCTTTTTGTAGTTGTCCTAAATTGCATTGCAGCTACCTTATATACTTGTGTTACTGAATGCTTAATTGATATTTAAGGCTTGATTCATTAAAACCTTCAGGCAATGGATATTTTTATTGGAAGATAAATAACTTCTAAGATATGTGTCAATTTTATTGACTGTATGGAATGTGTGTAAATTCATAAAAATTACTATAAACATTTGCTCTTAGATTCAGAGTGCTGGTGTGTTTGAGAATTGATCTTAAAATGTTGATTTTACAATCAGGGATAGGGAGATACATATCTTTGCATGGTGCTACAAGTCTTCTGTCATTGAAGTTGGTATCTTTTTTTGGATGGTTTTGGCAGTCTAACTGCTGCTTATAGGATTATTTTTAGAATCGATTTTATGCTTCTAAATCATAGCTATCAAACAGTTAATTGAATTCAAATATATTCTGTTCACATGGGGTTTCTGATAGATTTGTGCATTTGTATTTAAGGAAGCATATGAGGAATTCAAGCATGTTCTTCTTGCCTTTATATATGAAAAAGATGATCAAACTTCCCCTGTGGCAAATGAGGTGAGTTGGAATTTGTTCTTATAAATATCTTTTGTATGATTGCTGAAGAAGATATATTGTGCTTATGGAATCTTGTGATTTATGTGTACAGTGGGCTGAGAAGAGGAGGTATGAGATTGCTGGATTAATGTCTTCTGTTTTAAGAGCTCATTTACATGCATATAATCCACTCTTCTCAATGACATTGAGATATTTGATAAGGTATTACTGCAACTTTTGATAGATGTAATTTCATGGAATACTTTCTGTGAGATGGTGTGCTCATTTGTATTGATTTGCAATGGTTTCCCGCATTTTTCAGCATACATAAAGGATTTTGCTTTCGACAAGGAATTGTATCACCCATTTCAAATCTTACTGAGAGATTGCTCCTTGAGGAACGTGACCCCCCTGCAATACCTCAAGAGAGCTTGTATGAGGCACAACCATTTGATGAGGTGTGGATTTTTCCTAGCTAGTGTGTTTTTAGATGTTTCTTGGGGATAAAATGAGTCATATATTAGTTGGATTGATGCATGAATTTGTGGTGCTATGTCTTTATTTGTTAGGTCGCATGGATGCCTCTTATATTTGTGTGCTGATTTTGAAATTCAGGTGGATGTACAAGCTCTTGCACATGCTGTAGAGCTTACAAGACAAGGGGCTATTGATAGCTTGAGATTTGCGAAGGGTGATCTGTTTCAGGCATTTCAGGTTGTTGAAACATTTGCCAATCTAATCCCTCCCTCCCCCTAATACCTTTCTTTTGGAAGTTGGGACTTTTTGCATCGTCTCTATACTTTGATCAATGCTGTACCTGATTTTTAACTTTAAATCAGTCCATGGAAAATTGGCAATTGTGCCTCCCTTTTAGTGTTTGTGTAACTAATATCTTCAGATATATACTGGATCATGAGGATATCCATTTAATATTTCACATTCTAAAGACCTCTCACATGCTTGCATCACTTAAATGTTTCTGGGGTCTGAGCCTAGAGTCTATTTTTTATTTTGGGTTGTTCATTGTTAATGCTATGACTATGCATGCAGAATGAAATATGTCGAATGAGAATGGATGCTGCCATGCTTGATGAACTTGTTCGTGAGTACTGTGTTTACAGGGGAATTGTGGAATCTGGTATTCTCATCACATCTAGTGAAACTCTAACATCAACTTGTTTTTACTATATGCTTCTTCACGGGAATGCTGATCAACTTGTCCTTCCTCAGGAATGCAAACACTTTCTGAACCTTTGAAAGTTAATCCACCAGAGTCTAGGTGTTGTTCATCACGAGACTCTTCTCTTGATGTGGATTGTAGCAGTGCTAAGTGTTCAAATAGTGAAAATTCTGCTACTACTGATCTGAGTAGCATGCAAGGAACTGATGTCGAATCAAGATATGCTTCTGAGCCAACCAACAACCTCAAAGATTGTAGCACCAGTGGGTCACATCAGTCTGAAAATTCAAGGTCAAGTCTCCTGAGAAACAGAAGCCATGGAGCTGGTGAAAGAAGTAAACGTAAGCGATGGAGGGGAAGACATGATGAACTAGATTTTATTTCTGATATTCATTTTAGCCGATGTGGCAAGCAAGAGGTTAGCACTGCAATGCAAGTTGCCAGCACAACTATATCAAAGGTACAACAGGTATATTTGGAATTTTTTTTCATTAATTTTTTTATGATATATAATAGTGTAGTTTATTCTGCAGGGAGTGGAAAATACCAATGGAGAAGACAAATATGAAATTGTTCTGGGGATGAAGGAACTAGCTAGCAGAGGAATGGCTGCTGAGGTTGTGAAGGAAATTAACGAATTGGATCCAAACTTCTTTGCGGAAAATCCTGTTTTGCTGTTCCAACTCAAGCAGGTCAGTTGATTTTACACTGGCAGTGGCTTCATTAATTAAAAATTCAGGGGAAATTTCTGTTTAAATTGCACTTTCAAAGAATGTTATTTTCATTGTTATGGTTGTTTTAGGTTGAATTTCTAAAACTAGTTGGATTGGGTGATCATTCCGGTGCTCTAAGGGTTGCATGCTCCCATTTAGGTCCCTTAGCTGCCAGTGACCCCAATTTACTGAAGCCCTTGAAGGAGACTCTGTTGTTTCTGCTTCGACCAAATGAGGATGCACTTGTGACTGGCTTGCCTTTGCATGCTCTTGCAACTTCACTTCAGGTGCATTAGAATTTTTAATTTGGCAGATTATACTCTGGATTGTAGCCTTAGATTATGTTTAATTACTTCATTCTCTCTGGATCAATGGTAAATCGTGCATAGAAATATTAGAAATATTTTCTTTTTCTTTTGTATAAAACTTAAGTGTATGGTTTTAATACCTTGGTTAGGTTGCTTTTGGGAAGAGGCTTGGTATTGAGGAGCCTCAGCTTATGAGGATAATGAGAGCAACGCTTCACACGCACTCTGAATGGTTCAAACTTCAAATGTGGAAAGATTGCTTTGAAAGTCTCTTGAGAATTGATTCTTTGAAGGAAAATAACACTCCTGTGCTAACTTCCTTAGCTACATCAAAATCAAACACCGATAGTTGCACCCTTGGGTCTTCACAAGTTACTATCTCATCAACTACCCGTGTGTCCGATGATGGTGGTAGTCCAAATCAAGCGTCATCAAGAGATGTTATTCATGATGAGAATGCAATACTTCAAGTAATGGTAAGTTAACTCTGTTCCTCTCATGCATGATCGGTCATGTATAGATTCTTTAGAAAAAAAAAAGATCATTTCTTCCCCCTCTACTATCGATTCCAAGGAAGTTAAGAACTTGAATTCCTTACCAGAGGGGGTCTAAATTCTGTCACTCTGGTTTAACCAGTACATTCTTAAAACTTGACTTTCACAATGACTCTTATTTATGGTCTCGTCTGTTATTGTACTGAACCTGTACTATCCTCTTGCTATCAAAGCTTGTCACGCAATCAGCCTCTGTAACTTTTTCAGGATGGATAGTAATTAAAAGTATTACTTTTACTGGTATTCAACAAGCATTATGATTTTTCTTAACCTACCCCATATTCTATCGTATTCCGTTGATGCAGGAATTTCTTGCTTTGCCAAGGGCTGATGCAATCCATCTCCTAGCACAGTACAATGGAAATGCTGAGACGGCAATCCAGCAAATATTTACATACCTGTAAAGCACTGTAGAAATCTGATGATTTTTTTAATTTTTAATATTATTTTTATTCAATTTATATCAGTTATAGATATATAATTAAACTTCAAAAGGGTTTCTGTTGTAGTCGTCGGATTTTGTACACTACCATAAGTTTCCCTTCATTTGCAGGAAAAAGGGGTTCATTATTATTAAATTTATTGGATTGTTGTAGAGGTAATAAATCGAATTTCTTACTTTTCTGAGGCAAAATTTTGAAATCATTCTCCGTATTTACATAATATATTCGTAGTCAATACTTGCATATTTTATTTAGGATGTGTTTAGTGTATGATGTTATAATAGATAAAATAATATTATGAATAAAATTAAATTAAATAATATTATTTTATTTTATATTTGATGTGTGTGAGAATTAAGATAAAATAATTTATTTATCAAAATTATTTTTTTAAAGTTAATATAATTTAAATTAGTGATGTAATTTTTAAAGAATATAAGAGAATATGTAAGTTTAATTTCATGAATTAAAAATAATTTTATTTATTTTAGGAGGATTGAATTATCTATATTATGAGTATGATTAATTTTTCTTGTAATTTTATCTCTTTTTTAGAAACAAATTGTTATAATGTATAAATTTGTAAATTTATCATTATACATTATTTTAGGAGTTGTCATCAATTAACTTTTTTTTTTTTGTTTAGATGCTATTGTCAACTTAATTGAATGTGTCTATTTTAAAGAGATATCCCCAATTTGATTAAAGGTAAATTTTAGTTTATAAAATTAAGATTAGGTTCGAAAGTTTGGTTAGACTTGAGAAATGTTATAACACTTTTATAATGTTTATTCAAAGGATGATATTGGTTTGGTTTCGTGTTATGCAAACTTTAAAATATGTTAGTAATTTATCAATAATTTAATTATTGAAAATTGCTTTTAAAATTTCTTAAATAGTTTGATTGTAATTTAAAATAATTTTCTCAATTCAAAAGTATTCATGAAACTAATATCTTATTCTGAAAAAGCTCCATCATTTGAATTCATTAATGAGTTAATTATTATTCTTTTTAGAAAAATAATTAATAAAATATTCCAACAATTTAGTAGGATTTTATTTCAATGCACATCACTTTAAAGTTTGGTGAAATTTTTATTCAAAAATTTATTCATAAAATTTTGGAAAGAATCATTAGATCTTTCAATAATTTGATAAGATTTAATTTAAAATTTAAATATTTCAATAGTTTAGTAGGATTTAAAAAAAATATATTTTTTTAAAAAATTCATTAAGTTCTCTAATAGTTTGATAAAATTTAATTTGAGATTTAAATCTTCTAATAATTTTGATAGGATTAAAAAATTTATTTTTTATAAATTTTATTATGAAATTCTTCAATAGTTTAGTATAATTCATAATTTTGAAATAAATCTTTACTTATAAAAATTCTCTAATTGTTTCGTAGAATTCATAAATTTTATTTTTTAAAAATATTTTTTAGCATAATAAAAATTTATTTTTATATAATGAGTAAATAAAATTTAAATAAAAAAATAAATAAATAAAAAGAAAAAAAGAAAAAAAAACCAAAGATTGGTCGATTTAGCTTTGGTTTAGAAACAACTTTGCTGAAGGAACAAAAAATGGTTGACACATGTTGGATCACTGTTTATATTGTGGCTTAACTCGGTTTGGTTGAGGATTGCTATAGACAGGTTGCAAGTCAGGTTGCAAAACGGTCGAATCAAGTTAGTACATGGTAAAACACGTAAATTTTGGTAAGTTAAAAAAACCCCAAAATAACGTCATTCTCAACTCGGTATATAAGGTTGAATTTTGTTTTTTTTTCTTTTAGAATTGATTCAAATCTCTCTCCTCTTTTTAGCTTCTATCCCTAAAAGTAAAAATCAATAATTGGGTTCTGCAAAGTTTCTTCAAAAGTTTGTTGGAGTTCCACCAAGATCTAGGTATGTTTCCTGAAGCTAGAAAACATGTTGAAAGGTTGTCGAAAACTGAAAAACTTATCGAAATCTCATCGAAAAACTTGAATCTTATTGGAAAATTCAACTGAAGAACTGAAATTTCTAGAAAATTTCCCAAAAAAAAAAATTACAAAAAATTTTCAACAATTCCCTCTTGACAAATTTTGATTTCCCAGATTTGTTTAACAATGATTTTTCCCAAAAATCACTTTTAAAATCCATCAAATTTGAGAATCAAAGTGCTCACTAAATTATGCCCTACTTCTAAAGAATTGGCTTTTGAATTCTTGCCTTTTGTTTATGTATTTCTTCTCATCGATTTTTGTCTAATTTCTCTATCTTTTTCCACTATAAATATCAATCTATTTATAAGGCAAAACTAAAAGAGTTTCAGATGACTTCCAATTCAGTTCAAAAAGCTAAGAATTAATGCCTAATCTCATACTTTTTTAAAAACAATTATCACAAGCCTAATTTCAAATTTTCAATTTTTTTTCTTGTTTTTTAAGTAGTCAGATAAATGTATGAAAAAAAAGATAAATAGAATGGACAAATATAAATGAAAATAATCTATAAGTAAAAACTAGTTTAAGCTCTGAATTAAATAGGATATCTATACAAATCAAATGTTATCTTATCTAACCTATGTATAATTTGTCTATAGATTTATTGTAGACATTTGTATGGCTATTACCATCCAATAAATGATACAAATGAAAATTTTAAAGTTATTAAAGGTATTATTGAGAACTAACATCTTATGTTTTTAAATTTTCTTTCTTTATTCTTCATGTACTCAAAAGCTCTTTCCTTCTTTTTTTTTTTTATTTTTTTTACTGCGCCTTAAAATTATTTAACTTTTTTCTTATTTTGAATTTCGCTTGGTCTTTTTCTCACTTTTTTTCCCTTTTTTTCCATCAATCATGAATGCTGTATTTTACATCTTTTTAATTGAAAGTAAAGCACCGGAAGGAAAAGCTTGAAGCATCAAGGGAAAATCGTTACGTGAAGGTTTAGCTTCAAAGGGTAAAGATAAAATATGATTTTTATGTTCAAAATGATAAAATTTATGTGTTATGTTGGTTTTTTATGCTATTTTCAATTATTAGGTGAGGGGGCCATTTACTTGTTTAGCATTTCAAATATGTTTATAGACTGACACATTTGGATAATAATGGTTTTTTTTTTTTGGTTGGGTTAGTGTTTGCTCTTTTTTTTGCCTTTGTTTTTTTGTTTTTTGCATATATTTTCTTTCTTTTCCTGACTAAATTTTTGGTGTTTGAATGAACAATTTTTTTTTCTGAAGTAAAATTATTTCTATACAAGTAAAATCGAAACAAAACCTAAGAAACTGTTCATTGATCTGGATAGTATTGGCAGGGTATTGTGGTCTAATGCTTTTTTTTTTTAAATATTTTTTTAATGTTGGTAAAAATTAGACTTTAGGTTATTATTGTAGTAGTTGAGATTTTTTAAATCAAGTTGGCCTTTAATAGTCAATTGGGTTTTTTGAAAAACTTTATGCATTTAATTTTATAATCTTTAGTACTTGATTATATATATATATTTCTTAGAACTTGTTAGACGTAACTAACAAGATTGATGAATGTTAAAATAGATATAAAAATATAATCTTGCTAATGTGTAACTAATTAGTTTCATGGACTAACCATGTTACCTTCTTAGCTTGGTAAAAGATGTGATAGACTCAATTTTTTATATTCTGACAGTGTTTGTACATACAACTAGTGATATCTGATGAAAATTTATGGTGCACTTGAAAAACTATGCTTTTCTAGATTGTTCCTCATCATTTTTTTTTTTTTGTTTTTATTTGCTTTGAGTTGTTATTATCCTTTCATACTCTCTTGATGTCTAATTGTGTTGTGTTTATTGTTTTAGTTTTTTGTTCTTTACAAACAACATATTCTGGTATTTGGTTTTTCTTTTGTTAGCTAAAGGTTAAACAGTCATATGATTTTACTTTTACATTTGCTAACTTTTATTTATGGTTTTTCCTGTTTTGATAATTATTGTTGGAATAGTTTTTCCTTAATTAAATGCTTATATTTGTTTATATCCTTTAGAATATTTTCCCCTGTATAATAGTTTTCTATAATTTTTTTTATTGCCAACATGTTTTCTTTCTATCTTTATCATGTTTTTTTTTTTTTTTTACAAAAAAATCTTTATTTTTAAGTTTAGCATCAATGTTAGTAGAATTAATTGATTAGGAAGTGTTCTTTTATTCACTTCATTAATTGTGAAGTTTGTTTTACTTTGTGTTATGATGGTTGTTAGTTTTCAAGTGAATTTTTTTGGTATTTATTATTAGAATAGTTTTTTTTCTTGGTTAAATGCTTATATTTGCTTACATCCTTTAGGATTTTTTTCCATGCACAATAGTTTTCTATAATTTTTTAATTGCCAACAAGTTTGCCCTTTATCTTTACCATGTTTTGTTCTTTTTTTATTTACAAAAAATATTATCTATTTTTAAGTTTATCTTCAATGTTAGTAGAATTAATTGATTACGAAGTGTTCATTAATTGTGAAGTTTATTTTACTTTGTGTTATGATGATTGTTAGTTTTTAACTTAAGTTTTCTTTTAATTTTTCTTACTGTTTGTCAATAACTTAATTTTTGAATTCTTTATCATTAAAGTACATAGTCTATCACAGTTATAAATGCGATTTAATGTTTGAGTTTCTTTTTTTTTCTTTGGTATGTGGTAGGATTTTAATTCTCTTTGGTTATTTTGTGCCTCATGTGTGAAACATGTATCATTTTATTCATAATTATAGCTTATTTATCATGTTTCTTTTCTCTTAGTTTAGGCTGTGGTGGCATTTAGATTGTATTTACTTTATTAACTATCATTTACTTTTATTATCTTAGTTTTTATATGAATGAGCATTAAAATGCTTTATCTTTTGACTATTTATGATTTCGTATGTACTCTAAGAAATAAATGCGATTTGTTCTATGAATAAAGTTGAATTGATGGTTCTTCTCTTTTTTATGGCTCATATGTAGTTTTTTTATTTACTTTTTTTGTATCAATTTCTATTTATGACTTTTTTTATCAGTTATAAAAATGTGTTTGTTATGTTTTCAATGTTGATACTGTAATTGTTATATTATATGCACTATGGATGAGAAATGGAATTTAGTTTTGACTTACTATTTGTTTTTTGCTAAGATTTCAAGTTAATTTTATAGAACTCAATTTGCGTGATACGTTATCAATTATTTATTGAGATTTTCCCTCATTCAAATTA